CGTTGAGCACAGAATGAATGATCAGCACATAGGAGAGGCCAATCAAAGGGGCATCCAGACCAGATGTAGAAAGGAGTGCAAAAAGTCCATAGATGCTGTTGACTGTGATATTGGAGCAGGAACATTTGATCACATCAGGGTGGTAGCAATAAGAGTGAGAAAGAATATTTTTCCTACAGAATGACAGGTGCTTAAGAAGCAGGAGGAGGGGAATCATGACCAGAGTCCCTCTTCCCACTATCATCAACCCAATATGGATGATCCTTTTTGGAGTGAGGATGGTAGCATACCTTAGTGGGTTACAAATAGCAATGTAGCGGTCAAAGGCCATGGCCAACAGCACCGAGGACTCCATGACCGTAAGGAAATGAATGAAGAACATTTGGCTAATGCATGCATTCCAACCAATCTCTTGAATATTAAGACAGAGGACACCTAGAGTAGTGGGCATAGTGGAGAGGGACAGGCACATGTCAGTGACTGATAGCATGGAAAGCAAATAGTACATTGGTTCATGAAGGCTTTGATTGGTGATGATGATGAATAGGATCATGCTATTCCCAGAGATGGCAATGGCATAGAGGAAGCAAAAGGGAACAGAGACCCAGGTGTGGCCAGCTTCCAGGCCAGGGATGCCTGTGAGCAGAAATGTCAGGGATATGATTGTGGTATTTGGCAAAAGTGACATGATGAGTTGAGGAGGCATCATTCAAATGGAAAAGCATCCACCCTGTAAGAGTAAAGAGAATAGTAGGAATATAGGGATCCTGATGGCAAATCCTTGATGATCACACAATGGAAAATACTAAGCCATCACTTTCTGCCTTCTCCTTGTAAATAAGCTTCACTTTGGACTCGAATTTAATTGACAAAGAAGAGGAGAAGACAAGCCAATGAATATTGTCCATCCATATTAGACATAACTGTGATGGTGATAGTGGGTGGTGATCATGAAGAAAGATCCATAAAATGAAATTGAGGGTTGAACATGGTGGAGATTAGGCTTATAGGCAGGAGAGCTAAGAAAACTAAGGGAATGTATGATGGGACGTAAAGTGTCAGAGGAGGTGAACTCAGAGGAGCTAGCCCTCTTCAGATATTTTAAGGGCTGCCATTTCAACAAGGAGAAAGATTTATTCTGCTTGACTCCAGATGGAAGTATCAGAAACAGCAGGAGAAAGTACCAAGGAGGACTTCTATCCTATCATCACATTTTATGTTCCTTGGTATAATGGTTCCTTAAAAATTCTTGTTGTTGTTGTACAATACAATACATGTGTAAAAATTTCTGTCCTTTTTAATCTGAACTTATGATTTCATTATTGGCTACTCCAAATGTGGAAACTCATTCCATCACTACTGATAAGTCACTGTTAATACATTTGTATTCATGAGTTTTCGGGGACATTGATAGTTCAAGTGACAATCCCTCAGTCAATTTGCATCCAAAGAAGGACTAGACTCCAGTCTTCTTGATTCAAAGGACATTTCTCTATCCATTATATCACACTGCTTTTCTATTACTGTCTTTAATATTATTTTATTGAATATTTTGTCTGGCTCTGGGAAACACATTTTAAGAGAGACAGCTTCAGACTAAACATTTTCCAGAGAAGGGTAGCCAGGATGGCAAGAGGTTAAGACATCATGATATATAATGAATGGTTTGTGCAACCTGAGGTCATGTAGTCTAAGGAAGAGAAAATTAAGGAGTCATAAAATTAGTCTTAAGATATCCAAACTTTTATCATATGAAAGAAGAAAATGTATGGTGTGTGGATCTAAAAAAAATGATAATTAGGACTGAAGAAAGGACAAAATACCCAGAATTATGTTCTGCTAGTGATAAGGAAGAACCTAGAAATGATGTGTTCAACAAGAACTTCTGGACTCCTAATCACTGAAGTTTAAAGTTACAGATCAGTAGTTGATATTTCAGGGAAATAATAATAATAA